GATGAGGTTAGCTGAGTGAACAGCAGGTTTGAGCCTCTAGCAGAAGCGGTCAAACTGAGGGCTGCCGTGAACCTCTGACGCGAGCAAATCAACCAAAAAGCGCAGGACCCACCAAGGCAGAGGAGGAACTTTGTCTGACTCCTCTATAAAGATGGTGGTTTGTACCATGCATACAGCTATCTTGTAGGAACTAGCCTGAAATCATCAGTTCATTTTATACAAAATACTGATCAGCCCCTGTGATAACAAATTTCAGCCTCAAACAACTTGGGCAGACTTTGAAACAGTGGCCTAATAACAAAAAATCCATGTTGCATTATCAGGCTTCCTGGCATCTGCCTATCATCAAAGAGAGATTCCCATGATCCGAGCTTAGTTTGACTTTTTTATATTTAAATAATCCGTCTGTCCATGTTAATCTTCATAAACATTAGGAGCAAGAGTCCACCTTCAGAGGCACTGTTGTCTTCATGGCAGCTGCACATGCATCCAGAGTCAGAAATTGGCCCTAATGTTGAACTTGTGAGATCTCCAACCAAAGTTACCTTTAAAAATTACCTGCTAGAGGACAAGCGAGGAGTTCTGCATCCATTTGAAGTCAATGAAAATTGTGCCATCAACTTCAATGAAGTCAAGATTTCACCCAAAGTCTTTAATTCTTCTTTGGCTAGTTTTTGATAATGCTAAGACATTAATTATACAGCCGTAAGCATGAACCACCTATTGTTTCTTGATTAATACACATATGATGAACACCTAAGCATATCTATTTTATTTGTCCTTCTACATATGCATACCATATAAAAGACAGGTATTTAAAATTGGAAAAGCATGTCAGAGTTTGAAACTGACCTTTTAAATAAGTTGACTTTTAGCTTTTTTTATTTTTATGCTTTATATTTGAAAGGGAGTCTCTGATTTTTTTTTCTCTTTTGCCTCTGATTTGTTGCATAGCCAAGTGTTTTTTGAAACTGGGGCCTTGCAGAATTGAGTGTCCTCTTCTGAGAAAAGATTGTTGCTTTGCAGAGAAACTAAGGATATTGGGAATTAATAAATATGGGGATCAGATATATCACTCTGCAAACCTTATTTTCTATCTAGGTGGAACTGCACTATTCAAGTCACTTGCATGCATCTTTTGGTAGCGCAGCAGTCAATCTCTAGTCATTTATCTTACAGCAGTCATGATCAGTATATCCCTTTACTTATTGTAGTCTGATCATTATACAGTGCCCGTGCCGGTGTTTTACTACTGCCATTTAAGGGATCCTAAGCTGTTGTACAAACTATAGTTTGGGTAACATAGACCTATGTGTGCAGAGTCTTCTTGAAGGGTTTCCATTTGAATGGACAGTGTGTTAGGTATGAGGTGGACTCAGCCCTAAGAGGCAGCCACCTGGAGAGCCAGGTTCTGTTTTGGATCCATTATATAGACAGGCCAAAACTGTGAAGCTTGATTCTGGATGTGAAGCCAAACCTTCCCAAAATTCAGAACCGCCTGCCAGTTTGGATTCATCATAGAGTTATAGCCCTGAGCTGTGAAGTTTGAATCCAGCTTCAGATCAATTTTTTTTTCCTGTATAAAGGATGTTGTAAGCCTGCATTCTCACTTGGACCCATATGAGGTTGTCAGCTCTCCCGATAAAAGGAGTTTTCCTTAAAATCTATCTAGTGGAATCATTTGATTACATAAGGATCTCAGCATTTTTTTTTTTTCAAAGAAAATAAGTTTCTACCCTTCGTGGTTGTGTAAAAAAAACTTTAGAATGTGAACGAACCCTATAGGCTGAGAAAATGGAAAGCAGGAAAAAAGAGAATTTAATACTTATTTAAAAAAAAAAAATCCTGTGATTTTTAAGCCAATCTCATGATTTTCGTGGCCTGACCCATGCCGTTAGAAGGATTTGGGTTGGGTCTTGTTGGCAATACTGTAGAAAATAGCCTGCGATGAGAAGCTGAGATTTAAATCTTCACTTTTCTGAATTGTAGGGTCTTTCAGATCTGGGTGTGCAGTTGAGGTCCATCTTAAAATTGAAGTTATAAAGTTAGTGATGGACATTTAATTCCAGCAAAGCCTCATGATCAGATATTTCAGACAGATTCTAAAATAATTGACAAGGAAAAAATGACGGAGCTCAGCATCCTTTTATGATGTGACCTGAGTCTAGGGAGTGTTGTAGCATCGGATCCTTTCAGTCTCTCCAATGACGATCCAAATTACCTCCCCGAATCCCATTCTCATCTGAAATGCGCATTTTGTCATGAAAAAGAGGGAAAACCTCGAGGTTCTACCGCCAAGTTTAACAAGTTAAACAGTAAATCCTAACACATCAGAGCTCCTGTGAGGTAGAGGCATCTCTTGATGATCTCTCTAATGGACTGAAAATCCTCTTAAAAGTGAGCGCAGATCACAGGTGCTGAAAGAAAATGTTTAAAATGACAGCTTAACAATGGCCCTGGTTATTTCTGTGTTTTTCCTAACCAGGGGATTAGCGATGTAAATTAGGATGCTGAAGATGGATAGGTTTTTTTCCTGTAGGTAAGGTGGCTTCATGTTCACTTATTGAATCCTTTACTGAATTATAAGGCTACAAGCTGAATTTACTTAAAGGGATATAGTCAATTTATAAATCAAACTTCTGTCTTACATTTTTGTATCTGCTAGCTGTAGAAGTAATGAAAGAGATGAGAAAGACGAGAGAGAGAGTGGTTCCTCTTTTATTCACTTGGTTTCTTTGTGGCTTTGGCAGAACATAGTCAGTTTCACTGCATTTCTCTGTATAGGCAGATTGACTTAAATGGGCTGCATGCGAACACCAGTCTGTGCACACAGATGCAGTGGCAGGATTGGGTTCTGGGTTAGTCCCATTGGAGTTAATGGGACTCTGGGTGGGTGCAAGAGTCCACCTGCAGGGATCACTGTGAGGGACTGAGGCCTTGGAGTGAAATCCTGGCCCCCATTAAATCAATGAGAATATTATTATTGTCTTCAGTTGAGCCAGGATCTCACCCCATTGTTTATTTGGTTTGGGTCATCAGTGCAGCAACAAGGGAGAGAAAACATTTAAAAACAGGAAAACTCGATTGTAAAAACATGAAAAGGAGGAACTTGGAGGCAAGATGCATCACTGATTTCATTAAACTGATTAGATTTGAAATTGATGATGTTCTTTAACATTCTATTTTGACTCAGAGTATTATGGGCTGGAGCCATGCTTCACCCATAGACCTTACTTCCTGTTTGTTGGTGGGGTTTGCACCATCATTTTGAGTATGTAAATCCCACAATAAAGCAACATGTTCTTTAGTCTGCAGTAATTGTAAGTAGATGGTGACACTCTGTATACTGTATGCTCTGGGGGTCCCTATACAAAATTTGTGATGAGGAGAAAACATAGACTGACACTGTGACACAGAGGCCCACTGGTGATTCATTACTCTGTGTCAGCAACTCTTCTTTATACCTTGACTTTAGCAAAGCTTTAGATACGGTCTCCCACAGTATTCTTGCCAGCAAGTTATAAAAGTATGGATTCGATTAATGGACTATAAGGTGGATAGAAACCTGGCTAGATCGTCAGGCTCAACGGGTAGTGATCAATGGCTCGATGTCTAGTTGGCAGCTGGTATCAAGCAGAGTGCCTCACGGGTCGGTCCTGGGGCCAGTTTTGTTCCACATCTTTATTAATGATCTGGATGATGGAATGGATTGCACCCTCAGCAAGTTTGTGGATGACACGAAGCTGGGGGAAAGGTAAATATGCTGGAGGGTAGGGATAGGGTCCAGAGTGACCTAGTCAAATTGAAGGAGTGGGCCAGAAGAAATCTGATGAGGTTCAACAGGGACAAGTGCAGAGTCCTGCACTTAGGATGGAAGAATCCCATGCACTGCTACAGGCTGGGGACTGACTGGCTAAGAAGCAGTTCTGCAGAAAAGGACCTGGGGATTACAGTTGATGAGAAGCTGGATATGAGTCAACAATGTGCCTTGTTGCCAAGAAGGCTAACGGCATATTGGGCTGCATTAGTAGGAGCATTGCCAGCAGATCGAGGGAAGTGATTGTTCAGCACTGGTGAGGCCACTTCTGGAGTATTACATCCAGTTTTGGGCCCTCCACTATGGAAAGGATGTGGACAAATTGGAGAGAGTCTAGCAGAGGGCAGTGAAAATGATTAGGGGGCTGGGGCACATGACTTATAAGGAGAGGCTGAGAGAGAAGAGTGAGGGGAGATTTGACAGCAGCCTTCAACTACCTGAAGTGTGGTTCCAAAGACGACGGAGCTAGGCTGTTCTCAGTGGTGGCAGATGACAGAACAAGAAGCAATGGTCTCAAGTTGCAGTGGTGGAGGTCTAGGTTGAATATTAGGAAAAACTATTTCACTAGGAGAGTGGTTAAGCACGGAAATGGGTTACCTAGGGAGGTGGTGGAATCTCCATCCTTAGAGGCTTTTAAGGCCTGGCTTGACAAAGCCCTGACTGGAATGATTTAGTTGGGGTTGGTCCTTCTTTGAGCAGGGGGTTGGACTAGATGACCTCCTGAGGTCTCTTCCAACCCTAATCTTCTGTGATTCTACTATTCTCAGGCCTGATATACTGGACTATAAAAATAAATGGTAGAAGACCCCATAGTTATCCACCATTTTGGGGACTAAAGGCCCGAGATTTTGATATCACAGAACATTGGGTCCTTTAACCAGGGCGTTGAAGTTTCTGTGAACTGAGTTCAGGCAAGAAACCTGCTTAGGCAAAGATTCTAACTTGCTGAAATTAAGTTTTAGTCTTAGAAGTGTATTTTTACTTTTGTTTGCTTCTAACCCTTTCTGTCTTTATTATGTATACTTGGTAACACTTAACTCTATGTCTTTTTGTTAAATAAACTCATTTTACTATAAACCAGTTCAGTTCTGCAATTGAAATTAGGGTGTTTTTTGAATCTCAATTAAATGAATGAACTGAAGTAGAGTAATGAACTTCATAATTTGTGTGTGTGTTCCGGAAGAGGAATGGACACTCCAGGAAAACGCCTCTGGAGAACTAGGGAGTTGGGATTCATTGGTTGTTCCCTGCAAGTCAAGGATTGGACTGGCAGAGTTCTGAAGAGTTTGCTGGCAAGGCAGACAAGCTGGTGAGTCACGGAATATTAATTTCACACATTTTAGCAGTAGAAAAACTCACTTGCAGAGGCTGAGCCTTGGCCTACACTAGGAGTTGAGGATGAATTTAGCAGCATTCAATCGATTTAGCCCTGCACCCCTCCACACGACGAAGCCCTTTTTTTGACTTAAAGGGCTCTTAAAATCGATTTCCTTACTCCACCCCCGACAAGGGGATTAGTGCTGAAATCGGTATTGGCCTCCGGGAGCTATCCCAGAGTGCTCCATTGTGACTGCTGTGGACAGCATTCTCAACTCAGATGCATTGGCGAGGTAGACAGGAAAAGGCCCGCGAACTTTTGAATTTCAATTTCCTGTTTGGCCAGCGTGTCTGCCCTTGCTTTCACAGAGGGAGGGAGGGAAGGGGGGGGCCTGACGATATGTACCCAGAACCACCTGCGACAATGTTTTAGCCCCATCAGGCACTGGAATTTCTACCCAGAATTCAAATGGGTGGCGGAGACTGCGGGAACTGTGGGATAGCTACTCACAGTGCAATGCTCCGGAAGTCGATGGTTGCCTCGGTACTGTGGACACACTCCGCTGACTACATGCACATAGAGCATTTGTGTGGGGACACACACAATCGACTGTATAAAAAAGCTTTCTACAAAAATGACTTCTATAAATTCGACCTAATTTCTTAATGTAGACATACAAAGGTAACACAGTAACTCACAATTCTGGAAACCCTAGCAGATCATCACAGGGCAGATGGTTTGGGGGAAATTCAGGACTGGGAGGGTGTTGGGATCACTGCAAAAAGTAACTGGATGGTGGAAACTAGAGTGAACAGTGTGCTTGTCTGTAGGCTGTTGTTGGTATCAGGGTTGTTAGCCACAGCAGTATAGTGGCACTCAGAGTTGCAGAGCATGTGGTAACACAACCCCTTACATGTCTGTGTTGAATCCCCAAAGTGTCACAAGCATCTTATGGAAAAATTGAAGAGTTTAATGCAGCGAGGATCGGCAGCAATATGTTGAAAGATTGGACCACTATTTTCTGACAAACTAGATTAGAGATGAGGGAAAAGAGAAATTAATATTTCTCTGTGTCTGTGACAGTAAAACCTACTCCCTCTTAAGAAGTTTGTTACAGTCTCAGGAACCAGGAGAGAAAAATTTGGAAGAACTGCAAAGGATCTTAACTGAGCACTGTATTCCAAAGCCCAGCATTATTGTGGAACGTTTTAAGTTTCATAATTGGATGAGGTGAATCTGTATCACTGTATGTAGCTGAGCTTAAAAAGCTAACTGAATATTGTTCATTTGGAAATGTCCTGTCTGCGAGACAGATTTGTTTGTGGTATTGATGATGAAAAAACTCAAAGGCAGTTGCTGGCAGAAGGGATCTTGACCTTTCTCAAAGCAGTAGAACTGGCAACAGCAATGGACGTAGCAATGAAAAATTTACAAGATTTGCATTTGCACAATACTGATTCTATAAACAAAAAGCAAAACCAACAAAAAGGGAGTACAGGCTCCTGAGGGGAGTTTCTGCTATAGATTAGCTCATTTGTCAATATAAAATGGCCCAGTGTCATGCCTCAAGGTTGGACACTTAGCAAGGAAATACAAAGGGAATTATCGACCAGCATATTAAAGCCAAGCAGTTAAACCCCATAATTACAGAGAAAAAAAGAAGGAAGCACAGGGCTTTTTTCCTGGGGGAGAAGGAAGAGACAGAGGAAGAGCCACACACTGTGTATTGTATAAAAGAGAAGAAAGTAGAACCTTATTAAATAAGAGTAGAGTTAAACAATCAGTTTACCAAGGATTGGCAACCTTTGGCACGCGGCCCGTCAGGGAAACCCCCCTGGTGGGCTGGGCCAGTTTGTTTACCTGAAGTGTCTGCAGGTTCGGCAAATCACAGCTCCGACTGGCCGTGGTTTGCCATTCCAGGCCAATAGGGGCCACAGAAAACGGCGGCCAGCACATCCCTCGGCCCACACCACTTCCCGCAGCCCCCATTGGCCTGGAGCGGCAAATTGCGGCCAGTGGGAGCTGTGATCGGCCGAACCTGCAGACGCTGCAGGTAAACAAATCATCCCGGCAGAACAGCAGATTTCCCTGATGGGCTGCATGCCAAAGATTGCCATCCCTGAGTTAAACAATCCGTCAGTACACATGAAAGTAGAAACAGGGGCTTCAGCTGTGGTGATTAATGAATATACTTATCAGTGGGTCTAAGCAGGACTGAATCCACTAGCAAAGGCAAGAATGACACTGCGTACCTACATGGGGTTAAACATATTTGGACTTCTCCATACCATCCAGCTTCAAATAGTCTAGCTGAAAGCGCTGTTCAAACCTTCAAAGAGGGAATGAAGAAGATGATGATGATGAATGGAAGCTTGGAAATGAAGCGGGCTTGATTTCTTTTGACATACTGAACCAATCCTCAAACTACAATGGGGTGATCCTGGTCTAGCTGTTGATGGCAAGAAGCATGAGAACTCTTTTGGACTTAATTCATCACAGCACTGAAGGGAAAGTTTTAAGGAATAGGCTGATCAAACAAACAACCATGATTATTATTTATTGGGGGAGGGATAGCTCAGCTTATGGGGGGAGGGATAGCTCAGTGGTTTGAGCATTAACCTGTTAAACCCAGGGTTGTGAGTTCAATCCTTGAGGGGGCCATTTAGGGATCTGGGGCAAAAATTGTGGATTGGTCCTGCTTTGAGCAGGGGGTTGGACTAGATGACATCCTGAGGTCCCTTCCAACCCTCATATTCTATGATTTCTCTCTTGGTTTGTGGCATTTATCATTCCAAAGATAGAAAGTTGGGTTTGAAGGATTGAATGTATATCAAAGTTTTAATACACGCCAGCCAACGTGGATTCTGGATACTATCCTAGAACAAACATGACTTTTATCTTTTAAAATCTGTTTAAGTGATGATCGAGTGGCAAAATAACATCATGATCAGATCTGCTTATGGAGTGACATACAAGTGCACGAGCTTCTGGGTGAGGTCTACCGTAAGAAGCAAAGACCTGGAGAGGATGAAGAGTTTCCTGCAATGACCAAATTGGGAATATCTACAGTTTTGCTGAACCCAGAGACTGGAGGTACAGTTTCCAAAATGTGAGGTTTCACTGGCAGCTGAGTAGGGCCATTATCTAGTGAGAGAAAGGTCTATATCTGGGCTGTAAATTAAAAAGGAAAGTCATGTAGTAAAGTGGTTATTAAGGGGTTAACTGAGTGACTCAGAATTTTATGGGCTAGAGCCATGCTTTGCCCTTTGCCCTTATTTCTTATTTGCTGGTATGTGTTGTATCACCATTTTAAATATGTAGCTACAACAATAAAGCAGTATGTTCTTTAGTCGGCAGTAACTGTAAGTACACCCTTATTTCCAGTCTTAATCCAGATAAGATTTACAACTTTCTTTCTTCCCAAGGCCTTTCCTCCTTATTCCTTTCCCTCCTTTCTTCTGACCAACATCTTTTTTGTTACAACTGGGTTCACATAGGAGATAACAGTATGTTGTTGTATCCTCTGGCTGTCCCTATAGAAAGCTATCTTTAAGAGCTGTACATGCTAGATTTAAAAAAATAGTTATTAATAGACAACTTTGACTCCTTAGGTTCTCAAATCATTCTTCAGGATGTACTGGAATAATTTATTTGTTTTATTATGCATTTAATAAATAAGATTAATAGTTAACTGTATTGATGTAAATGACTATCTAATTCTGCTGAGCCTTTGGGGAAAATATGTGTGCAATCCACAAAGACTACTGAGTTAAAACATTTTATTAACCTGATATGTCTAAGCCTTAGTTTTTCAAAAGTGGAAAAAGAGTTCCACACTTGAAATCTGCTCTACAATCCTTTACATTTAAATTGCCAAGAACCACTCCAAACGGGTTCTTTGTAAATAACTTACAGTTAACCACATAAGATTCAGCAGGATTAAGCTAAACCTTCTTTTGATACCTAACACTTCCAAAGCAATTTGGTGGCAAAGACAAATAATTAAAGTGCAGGAAATTCATATGCATCCCCAGTGGCAACAGATCTTCAGGGTAGTGGGCATGGGAAATAGAGAATTCCTATTTGTGTTTCTTCCAATTTCTTGCCATGTTTCCTCATTCAGGCCAGTACTGCATTGCTAAAGATTCCACAGTGGCCAATGAAAGGATGAATGGAATTTAGTTCTCTTTTGTGAGCTCTGTGAGGAAAGAGAAAGGACACAGTAAAGCTTTTATTGACCCAACTCCAAATCCAGTGTGTCTAACTAGGAAATTGTTCATTCAGATGGAAGCCAAAAAAGCATCCATGCCTCAATGTGGCTGAGACAGCAAAATCAATTCAAAAAAACAACAGCTCTGTTTAGTAAGTATTCAGGGGAGGAAAATGTAGGTCTAACTAAATCAATAAATAATATACAGAAGAAGGTATTTATTACACAGTATTCAATGAAAACAAAAGTGTCAGGTGTTGAGAAATATTAAATCCATCAGCCTTTAGTAAATACTGATTTTTAATAGGTCAGAAGTCCTAAATCATCATTTTTTAAAAAACAAAATTATCTTCAGGGATAGAATTGTATTTTATTTTTTCTGTTCTTTCCATGTGGAAATGATTTTGCCCTGTGTATTGTATTGTATTCATTGTAAAAGCACTTGTAAGGTCATAAAAGTTAGACTTTAAGACCTTTTATATAATCTTTTTTAGCCAATTTCCTGCCACAGAACTTTTGTTGTCTACAGATTTATAGCAGAAGAGCACAGTGCATCAGTAACGAGGGCCTGTTGTGAAATGTGATTGTGCGGTCTCATACACAGCTGCATAATTGATCTTCTAAGAATAAAGATGTTACATAAATGTGGGCTTGAATCTAAGTTTTCCAATAAGAAAAATAAATAAGGTCAATATTTGCAAATATAGGCGCCTATAAGTGGACCCCTAAATAGATGTTTAATCAACTAAATAAACACAGCCTGCCTCCAATCGAGTCTATGGTTGCTCAGTACTCTGAGAATCAGGACACTTCTATGTAAATGGTGAATTGTGGATGTAGAGTTCTAATTGTAGGTACCCAAATTCATTTTTTTTAAGTTTCTCTATTCCTTTTTATTGTGGAGATATCATCATCATCGTCATCATGTCTTTTGAGGACCATTGTGCCAGCTAGAGTATCCAAAGTTTATAGCATCATATCAAGCATTGTAGAGTGAAGTTCCCAGATCTGTCTCAAACCTGCAAATCCACGAATCTCTGTGATGGTCCAGTGGGCAATGCCAGGTAGGGTCACGTCATGCAACCCTTCATGTCTCCATGGAGAGTTATTGCCTGGCATGGTATACGTAACACTATATCACACACCCCTGCTGAAACAATTGGCTTCATACGGTAGCACAAGAAACCTTGGCTTTCTAAAGAGGCCTTTGATATATTAGCAAAAAAAGGCAGAAGCATGCAAGCAGGGAGATGTGAAGATAGCCTTCAAGGATTAACCAGATGTAAACCAGTACAAAATTGGTATTGTTTACTTGAGCCTGCAGGAAGCCTGAAATACTATATACACACTGAAAGGTATGAACTGCCCTATTCTTCACATTTGAGTTTGAATTCTGAAACCTAATGAGAAAAAGTTAAATGTAAATATCAGTTTTTTCAGGGCTGATCAATTTTGCAGAAACATCAAGCTAGCATATTTATCTATTATCTTGGTGTGTAACTGCAAATAATGGGGCTGAGTTCAGTGTGAGGCAGTGAGTTGTGACTAAGGATTGGGTGGGTGGGGAAAAAGAAATTCAGGCCCTCGCATCCAAACAGTTACATCTGTTCCTGGTTAAAAGGGGAAAGGAAAGAGTAGGTGACATTAACAGAGGGCTAGGGGTTGTGTGGGGAGCAGAGGTAAAAGGGGAGAAATGGCAAACTACAATAGGGTCATAGGCACAACAAGAGGAAAACAGTGGGGGAATCTGTTCAACATCTTAGATGTCTATACACAAATGCAAGGAGTATAGGAAATAAATAGGAAGAACTGGAATGTGCATAAACTAAATCCCCTGGCATAATTGGCATCACATTGACATGTGGCAGGGGGGTGGGGCATAATTCTAATGACTGGAATATTGGTATTGAGCGCTATAACTTGTTTAGGAAGGACAGGCTGGGGGGAAAAAGAGGTGGTGTTCCATTATACATGAAGAATACATACACTTGTTCTGAGGTCCAGATGGAGGTGAAAGGCAGACCAGTTGAAGTCCTTAAGTGAAAATAAAAGGGGAGAAAAGAGGGATGATGTCATGGAGGGTCTACTGTAGACCACAAAATAAGGAGAAGGAGAGGGATGAGGCATTTCTAGAACAAATAACAGAAACAGTCAAAACACACCAGACCTTGTTGTAGTGAGAGACTTCAACCACCAGACATCTGTTGGAAAAGTAATATGGTAAACACACAATGTCCAATAAATTCTTGGAATATACTGGGGACAAATTCTTGTTTCAGGAGGTAGAGGAAGTTTGCAGGAGGACAGCAGTTAGACTTGATTCTGACTAACAGGTATGAATTGGTTGTGGATCTAAAGGTTGGGTGAAAGTGATAATGAAATGAGAGATTTCATTATTTTAAGGAAAAGAAGGAGTAAGAGCCACAGAATAAAGACAATTGACTTCAAAAAAGCAGACTTTAACAAACTTAGAGTCCCATGGGGAAAAAGGCAATAAGGAGTTCACGAGAGCTGGCAGTTTCTCAAAGAGATAATATTAAAGGCACAACAGCAAACTATCCTAATGTGAGGGAAGGATGGGAAGAGTAGGCAGAGGCCAATGTGCCTCCCTCAGGAGCTCTTAATGACAGGAAAACCAAAAAGGAATCCTACAAAAAGCGGAAACATGGACAAATTGCTAAGCATGAGTCCAGAAGTCTAGAACAAGCACGTTGGGACAATCAGAAAGGCTAAAGAACAAAATAAATTGCACATAGCAAGAGACATAAAAGGCAATAAGAAGAGGTTCTGTAAATACATTAGGAGCAAGAGAAAGACAAAGGAAAGAGTTAGGTCCCCCTGTTAGTGGAGAAAGACAGCTAATTACAGATGACATCAAGAAGGCTAAAGTGTTTAATGCCCTGTTTTGCTTCAGTCTTCACTAAAAATATCAATGGTGATTGGATACTTATCATAATTAATATTACTATCAAAGGGGAAGAAATACAAGCCAGAATAGGGAAAGAACAGATTGAAAAGTATTTAGATAATGTAGATGCATTCAAATTGGTAGGGCCTGATGAACTTAATTCTAGGGTACTTAAGGAGCTGCCTGGAGCAATCTCAGAAGCCTTAGTGATTATCTTCAAGAACTCATGGAGGATGGGTAAGGCCACAGAAGACTGGAGAAAGGCAAACATAGTACCTGACTTGTAAAAGGGGAACAAAGAAGACCTGGGGAATTACAGACCAGACATCTTGACTTCAATACCTGGAAAGATAATGGAACAAATGAACAATCAATTTGTAAGAACTTACATAAGAAGTAAGGATATGACTTTTGTCACAAAGGTCACGGAGGTCTCTTGCTAAACTCATCCTCCCTCCATTTTCCCCAAATGTTTCTCCTCAGTTATCTTCTATCCTCCATGTTCCCCTGATCACTCCTCAGCTTCTCTCCTGTCTCCCCTTAATCTGCCTGCTGTGTACTCCTCACACTCCTTCTGTACTTAAATTTCCACGGCACCCTCCTTAGTCTCCATTTGTACACCCTCAGTCAGCCTTTGGTTTTCATTCCCCTGCATCTTCAGTTTCCTGTTCCATAATCATAGAGCACAAGTCGATGGACAGCTTCCCTCAAGGCAATGCGGCTTAATTGCAGAAACAATGGCAGATGGTGACTGTGGTTACTCAGGGTAGCTTTCCTTCCATGTGCAAATGATGTAGGGAAATGACAGCTGTCTTGACTATTGAAAGTAATGGGAGATCATAGAATCATAGAATCATAGAATATCAGGGTTGGAAGGGACCCCAGAAGGTCATCTAGTCCAACCCCCTGCTCGAAGCAGGACCAATTCCCAGTTAAATCATCCCAGCCAGGGCTTTGTCAAGCCTGACCTTAAAAACCTCTAAGGAAGGAGATTCTACCACCTCCCTAGCTAACGCATTCCAGTGTTTCACCACCCTCTTAGTGAAAAAGTTTTTCCTAATATCCAATCTAAACCTCCCCCACTGCAACTTGAGACCATTACTCCTCGTTCTGTCATCTGCTACCATTGAGAACAGTCTAGAGCCATCCTCTTTGGAACCCCCTTTCAGGTAGTTGAAAGCAGCTATCAAATCCCCCCTCATTCTTCTCTTCTGCAGGCTAAACAATCCCAGCTCCCTCAGCCTCTCCTCATAAGTCATGTGTTCCAGACCCCTAATCATTTTTGTTGCCCTTCGCTGGACTCTCTCCAATTTATCCACATCCTTCTTGAAGTGTGGGGCCCAAAACTGGACACAGTACTCCAGATGAGGCCTCACCAATGTCGAATAGAGGGGAACGATCACGTCCCTCGATCTGCTTCGCTATGCCCCTACTTATACATCCCAAAATGCCATTGGCCTTCTTGGCAACAAGGGCACACTGCTGACTCATATCCAGCTTCTCGTCCACTGTCACCCCTAGGTCCTTTTCCGCAGAACTGCTGCCTAGCCATTTCGGTCCCTAGTCTGTAGCTGTGCATTGGGTTCTTCCGTCCTAAGTGCAGGACCCTGCACTTATCCTTATTGAACCTCATCAGATTTCTTTTGGCCCAATCCTCCAATTTGTCTAGGTCCTTCTGTATCCTATCCCTCCCCTCCAGCGTATCTACCACTCCTCCCAGTTTAGTATCATCCGCAAATTTGCTGAGAGTGCAATCCACACCATCCTCCAGATCATTTATGAAGATATTGAACAAAACCGGCCCAAGGACCGACCCTTGGGGCACTCCACTTGATACCGGCTGCCAACTAGACATGGAGCCATTGATCACTACCCGTTGAGCCCGACAATCTAGCCAGCTTTCTACCCACCTTATAGTGCATTCATCCAGCCCATACTTCCTTAACTTGCTGACAAGAATACTGTGGGAGACCGTGTCAAAAGCTTTTTTAAAGTCAAGTAACAATACATCCACTGCTTTCCCTTCATCCACAGAACCAGTAATCTCATCATAAAAGGCGATTAGATTAGTCAGGCATGACCTTCCCTTGGTGAATCCATGCTGGCTGTTCCTGATCACTTTCCTCTCATGCAAGTGCTTCAGGATTGATTCTTTGAGGACCTGCTCCATGATTTTTCCAGGGACTGAGGTGAGGCTGACTGGCCTGTAGTTCCCAGGATCCTCCTTCTTCCCTTTTTTAAAGATTTCCACTACATTAGCCTTTTTCCAGTCATCCGGGACTTCCCCCGTTCGCCACGAGTTTTCAAAGATAATGGCCAATGGCTCTGCAATTCCTTCAGCACTCTCGGATGCAACTCGTCCGGCCCCATGGACTTGTGCACGTCCAGCTTTTCTAAATAGTCCCTAACCACCTCTATCTCCACAGAGGGCTGGCCATCTCTTCCCCATTTTGCGATGCCCAGCGCAGCAGTCTGGGAGCTGACCTTGTTAGTGAAAACAGAGGCAAAAAAAAAACATTGAGTACATTAGCTTTTTCCACATCCTCTGTCACTAGGAGATGCTGGCTATTTTGCCTAAGGGCTTTATTTTTAAGGAGAACCACTTGAGAGACTATGGTTGGCAGGAAGCACCAAAGAAAGTCCTATTCCTACACCTATTAGCAGCTTCCTGTGGAAAATGTATTCACTTGCAGTTAAAGAGAGGTGAAGTTAAAGAGAGGTGCAGAGCCAGGGCTTCTGACCAGCCACAATTCTACCTTTCCTCGAACTTCCTCCCACTTCCTGTCATCTAAGGTGAACAGGCAGGACTGAAGTTCTCTAGTCTCCCAATGAGCCCCTGGTTTTTATGGGCCTAAAGTACAGAAAGGAAGGGGGACAGTGACCTGGAAGGTACAATGTGGGGTAGAAATCTGTTTGGCAGGACCACATAACTCTGGGTCCTGGTCACTTAGCATGTTGGCAAAAGGACCTAGAGTCTGGGAAAATGGCTTCTGAGGGAAGGAAATTAATAACAGCCAAACCTGTGGAGAGCACTTAAGCTGCAGAAAAGAGCCATAGGAGCACCCAAGGCTGTGATAAAGAGCCTTAGACTGTTAACATATTTAAATTATAAATGTAGACTAAAGCAGCAGCAAAATACACATGGTGAATGTTAATTCTGATGCCCAGTACCTCACAAGGATGTTGCTGGGCTTTAAAAATTTTGGTATGGCACTTTGAGCTACTTAGATGAAAAGTGCTGCACAAGTACAAGGGCATATTAAAGAATAATTATTTATTATGAATGAAATCAGACAAGATTGTATGTTTGACAGTTGTTCAAGTAGCAGAAGATCATTCCCCATATGTTCTTTGCTGTATTTTTTCATTCTTTTCTCTGTGAAATTTTTTAGTATATGTATTTTTTATTTCTCCTTTTATTCCTGTGTGGTGAGTTCAGTAGCCAGAGAAGAAGCAGTAGAATTTGTTTGGAGATGGGCGTGGGTCAGAACAGTCTTTGGAGCATGAGGAGAGGTGAGTGGGAACAGAAGACAGGGAAAATGGAAGAAGCACTGATCAGCAGAAGACATTTTAAGATTTTTTTCTAGGTCATTTGTGTGACAAGCTGCACAAGTAAAATCTAGTTTTCTTCTGTGCTGATTCATATAAAATCTAATATGATTTAATGAAACTGGCCAATCCTAGTTAGGAAGTAATGTGTTTTGTGTTGGAAAGCCAGAATGAAGCACATTTCCCTTCCCACCCCACAACCCCCTACCCAACAAAAGAAAAACAAACAGACAAACAATCCCCCTCCCCACTTGGATCTGGAGTTGGATGTGGATGTTCAGTCACTGTTTACCAGATATCACTGACTGTGTGTCATATCTGCAGTAAACTAATTCTACAGTCCTGAAATTACATCTGCACAGCAAAACTCATTTTTCCTAGAGAACACATTTTGGTATAATTTCCCCAGTCTGACTGTGCAGAGATGTGACTCTCTCCTGCCCCCATGCACTCTTTTCAACGAGGGCAGAATTTGACCATGTAACAGGGTCATACTACATTGAAATTAAAAGATTGTACTTTTGGTTTTAAAACTCCTTGAAGTAAAGCTTACCCCCCAAGGTATTATATACGCTAAATATTAGTGACTAGGTTTCATACACTCTCATATTAAGGGATACATATGTATCTCAATTTAAAGTAACCAGATCTTTGTTCTCTTCCCTTTCCAATTCCACTCAACTACTCCTTGTCTAAACCATTTGACTCTAGCCAAATTTTGTTTGTATGGTTGCCCTGTATTTCTCATTCAAGTCTTGTTCAATGTTCTTTCTGGGAATCTATGCTTCAGCTTAAAACTTAATTCTGTTATTCCTATGTGTTCACCCTTCTGAGGTTAGATTTTACTGTCATTTTCTTTTATGGTGGTGTTCCTAGCTAGGGTTGCCTTCCTTCTAAAGATCACTAGAAGAGACAGATATACCACAATAACTTTCTCTGAAATCACATGAAGGAAATTTGTTGACACAGAAAGCTTAAATCAGTATCATAAAGGACAGTATCAGTATCTCTCTTTAATGATCAAATCTTGTTAGGCCTCAATTTTAGATTAAATAAAGTAGAAATTGCATAATGCCTAGGACTCTGTGGGCATATGTTCTGATTTGAAATGCCTTTAAAGATCTCTAAAGTGGTGAACAATATAAACATGAAAAGGAGGACTTGTGGCACCTTAGAGACTAACAAATTTATTTGAGCATACTCCTTTTCTTTTTGCAAATACAGACTAACACGGCTGCTACTCTGAAATATAATCATGCTGGACTTCAACTAAACCGATTTAGAAGATATGCGAAGTTGTACAAAAAATTTGTTGAATTAAATAATTGATAAATCTACCCAGAACAGCAATACATATTTAAGGTCCAGGTGGGATGACTGTCACAAAGTGTTTTAATAAAACAAAAAACCGAGAAAAAAAGACAACAGAAAACAATTATTAGAGCTGGCCAGGAATTTTTCTAATAAATGTTTTTTGTTGGAAAATGCAGATAGTTGAAATTGAAACTTATCATGGAAATGTATTGGTTTTGACAAAACTTTTGTTGGGGAGGGGAGGGGATTTCCTCAGCTCCAGGAATGAATTGAGAGGGAGAGAGACCCCAGTCTAGCCTACAGTCTAATGGTCAGGGCATTCACCTGGGATGTTGGAGATGCAGATTAAAATCCCTGCCAAAATCAGGCAGAATGGAGACTTGAACCTGGGTGTCCCCTATCCTAGGTGAATGACCTAACACTGAGCTATTGGCTTTTCATGGGTAAGAGGTGTTGCTCCCTTTTTTCAAAAAAATTCTATAGGTCTTGGTTTTGACCTGATGTGGAACAAAACCAGATGCTGAAACCTCAAAATTTTTCACAAAACAGAATTATTGTTTTCTGTCCATTTATTACCGCCGTGAAAGTTAAAGGACACTTTGAGCATATTAGGAGCACAGGAATTTCCAGACTGGATCAGATCCTTGGTCCAGGTGGTGCATTATCCTTTCTTCAACAGTGGCCAGCACCATATGCTTCAGAGAGGCCTAGATTTTCAAAAAGCAGTTGACTAAATACCATATCAATGATTAATAAATATTAAATAGGCTGCTGGATGGAAAACTGGTTAAAAAGTGAGGCAACAGAGAACAATTAATATGGAAAGGTGGTGTAATGAGTGATGGACTTCAGGAATTAAGACTCTGTTATTCATAACACACATAAATTAACTGGATGAGAATATTAAAGACAATATCTCCAAGTTTGCAGATGTTATTAACATTGGAGACAGACCAAATAATGAGGAATAGAATAACTCTTATTCTAAAAGATTTAGATTATTTAGTGATTGAACTAGCAGATGGCATATAGCAATATATTAAGTTTACAAAGTGCCTTTCTAAAAGTTCTTAAGTTCAGTTCAGCAAAACACAAAATAATTAGACTGGAAACAAGGAACAAATGTAGGGCAATAAAGATATGGGAACAATAGTCCAATACCCCGGGTAGTTTTGGAGTACCCAGAATGGCTTTGGTGTTAAAGTGGAAACATTTTTAAAAACTATAAATCCAGATCAGCGCAGTAGTAAAATGTAAAGTGGGAATGTTAATTCTTATGTACTGTACCTCATGGTGTTGTTGGTTTTATTTAATATGGCTGTAGTGCTTTGAGATCCTTGGTAAAAAGGTGGCATGCAAGTGCAAAAGAGTATTAATTTATTTTGACCAAAGTCAGACAAGGCCAGTACATTTGAGGCTGCATGTCTCCCAAGCTCCATGCTCCTTTTCCCAGTAGCCGCAACATCCCTGCTCAGTCAGCCCCACCTTCCCATAAAGGGTGCAGACCTGGCTGCTCCTGCTAAACCAATACTATGATTTCTTTCCCCTCTCTCTCATCTGCTAGCACTCTTTGCATTGGATTCCTCCTACAACTGGCTGGAGGGAGGTGTGGGGGGGGGGGTCTCACAGGAGGACAGTGGAAGATCTGAGAGCAGGGAGGGCACAGATTAGCTGGCAGAAGCCTCTGCCACATGCCTCGCCCACCCTGACAGTCTGACAGAAAAGTCAGCCTCAGCAGGGGAGGCCAAAGAGCAAATCTGATAGCTGGATCAGCTGGCTAAACGCCAGGGGTTAGAAAAGTCTCCATGAACATCTTTAGTTTATGGTAACAAAAACCATGATGTTGAGAATAAAACATCTCCAGGTTGGTTGCAGCTCACATTATGGAAATAATTGTTAGACTCCTCACACTGAAGATCAACTAGTTTTCTGAGATACATTAAAGTCTGAGTCCTCCTTCTACTCCTAAATTCACCAGAATCAAACCAATCTGCCTGAAATTTCACAAAGGTAATCCTATTAGAGAGATTTTTCTCTGGGAAGTTTGAGGCAAATCAGAGAAGATAGCTGAGAGATGAAGTTTTTAAAAAAAGGAAGTGGTTTTACTTCTTGAAAATGTAATTGTTTTTTATCACATCATAACTCCATAAAAGTGAGACCCAGAAACTCTACATTTATTTTCTTTGCTTGGTTTATGTGAGAACTGGTACTTTTGGATACATTTTTAAGGGGGTGATGGTTCCAGGTGTAAGTATTTGGGGAGAATGTCATACAGCACATAATTTATCCTAACCAGAGATGGTTGAAAAATGGGAAAACAATTTCATGAAAAAATTCAGAATGTTGAAATGTGATTTCATTTTGCAGAATGATTTCATCCATTTTTTCTAAAAGTGTCCATGCCATGATATTTTTTTTTTACCATTTTTTAAATTGAAGTTGTTTTCAAAATATTTCATATTTCTTAACAGTAAGAAAATGTTTTTTTTGAATGAAAAATTTTAGTAAAAATTATTTAAAACATCAGAAAATTTCATAAAAAAGTGGAAAATGGTGGTAATGTCAACAAATGGTTTGTGAAAATATTTCTGATTTTGGAAAAAGACCATTTGCCAATGAAAAAAAATTGTCATGCCAAAAATTTCATCCAGGTCTAATCCCCACAGCAGTTTGGTTTTGGACTTCTAAAATATGTACTTTAAACTTCATGGGAATAATGCACGTAAATGTGGAAGTAGGAACACATTACTCATTCACTGTCTCCATTACTCCATGTCTGCTGGTATTTGGGCTGCGAATCTAATCTGAAATTGCTCTCCTGCTTTTCTAAGCTTTTATTGTAGCAAGCATTTCTATGGTTCCCACCACCATAGTATCTGAGTGATTTTTACATATGTTTCAAGTAGATCTAGAATGACCCATGAAGAAATGAGACCTTTCCTCCACTTTCCTCCCTGACCAGAGTCTCTTATGTGAAGTTGCCCAGGGGTCCACTCCATCACCCCTCTGAACAACTTCCATCTTCTCTTTTGTAGCCTATAGGTATTTGCTAGGTAAGGCAGAGGTATAAATTAAGGCAGTAATGTAATCAGCCTACAAGGCCTGTAAGACAATAGCTTAGCTAAACAAGGCATAAGGTCACCAAAGCCTTAGCATAAGCAATTAACCAGGAGTAACCTTAGGTCATATGGCATCACAAAATAGAATGCTGTAATGACTAAACTGCTGACAGAAAACCACAGTTTATACCAGCTTGTGATATTTTAAGTAAAGACCATCAGCAGATGTTTGAGCATAAGAGTTCCATGGTAACTAATTGACATATATGCTAAAAAGCTTGTGGTAAACAAACTAGCAAGCTATGGGAGAAGGGCACCCCAGTATTAGTATGGTGAGGATATACAAATTAGGAAAAGGAGAGAAACCCCTCCTGAATATGCATTAGGCACAGTGGTGTCAGCAGGGGCACTGGAACAGGAAGGGCCAAGGCCCTTCCACTTTTGAAAATGAGGTCCCGCAAGCCAGCCAGGCCAGAAGCTGGACCCTGGCCTGGGGAGCCTGGGCAGCTGTGGGGAACCATGCACCCTCCACCTGCCTGGGGCAAGAGCACCCAGAGCAGATGGAGGGTCTGTGGCTCCTCACAGCTACCCAGGTGGTTGTTATCATGACCCAGCTGCAGCTCTTTGGCCCCTGCGGGTCCCCCTCCCCCGCCAGGCCAGAAGCCAGAGCCGGGTCGGGGCACCAGCCATGTGGGCAGCTGTGGGGAGCCATGAACCCTCCATCTGCCCTGGGCAGGGGGCCCTGGAGGGCAGGGATGCGGGCCAGGGGCTGCTCTCGGGCCTCCCTACCCCAGGCAGGTGGAGGGGTCTGGGCTCCCTGGCCTGGGTCCGGCTTCCGGCTTGGCTAGTGGGCAGGGCGTCAGGGCGAGAGGAGGGGCAGGGCCCCCCTACTTTTAGGAATAATCCAATGCTCCTGGGCATCAGCATAACACATTATGAAAGTTGTAACCTGGGCTGTGTGCCTTAGGAGATCTAACTCTTGGGAGGTGCCAGGATGACGACCACTGTGATGGTGGCAAGGAAGAGGAGGTGGAGGAGGAAGATAATGACTAATACTTCAGGTTGTTCTGCAGGGGGTGGGGTGAGAATATGGATGCTTAGATGCACAGTCTGTATTATCTCTAACAATCCTATTTCATTGGAGTGTTTATAACTTTGCTAACTGTGTTAATAAAACAATTTCAAATGCAGGTTTTTCCTAAGGTTGGGAGTTGCAGCCATGCATGTCAGGGGTTCCCAACTAAACTTTAATTTTAATACTGGGCCTGATCTTAGGGTAAAAACCTACCAAACTTCAGAGTGCTAATTGGGAATTCTTAAGTAATCAATATAATTAATATACACTCAGTATATCATTCAACATCTTTCTTAGCTAGATTGTCTCTAGCATTCTGGCTCTGATTGTCGTGAGCATATTGTGGGGTGTGGCATGCCACGTACCTGCCATGACAAGGCCAAACGTAACATAGACAGTCAGCATAAGTTAGAGCAGCCCCTAGGCTACTCAAACATACTCTAGTACAATACAATACAAATTTGGCTCTCTGATATCATCAGAGCATAAGCAAAGCAGAATAAATGGACCTCTGACTTCATAAATGCCTAGTCCTGTTCCTCATTCACTCCACTGTATTTTCAGAGGCCTTTCTCTTCCTTTCTTTTAACTCTTCATAACTCATTTGTGCTGTTTCCTCTCTCTGTCTACGTCACTGTTTCTCTCCTTCTGAGCCATATGACCGACTGTCTCTGTGTAACGCATTCGTGATAACATGACCAAAGATGGGCGATAAAAACTAATTGTACTGCGTTTTTAAAAAGAGGCTAAGATGTAATCTCATTATGTAGAGGGATTCGGGCACTGCTATATTAATAATTTTGCTTTTTCCATTAATAACAGTGTGTTTCATCTTACGTAAGCACGAACAATCCGTTTTTAATCAACTTCGCTGAGCTTCATCTTTGAGATGCATTAAGTGAGAGCTCATAAGGTCATGTTCATGGGATTAAAGAAAGTACTGAGGTTTTAGAGCATTAAATTCCAGTTTTCTCACTATGTGTGCCATTATTTCCACTGTGGTTTTAAAGAGGGTCTTTTTTAGTTTCTGGTTAAAGAAATAAACAAAATCTTTGTCAATTCATTGTGTAATAATATGAGCTTTAGCTAAATGGAATAACTGTTTTGGAATGCATGAATTCAGCTGAATGTTATCTTCAGACAGAATTTGATGTAATTATTTAATTAATGGAAATGAAGTATTGCAGCACTGAAGGATTTGAATAAGTGTTGAAAGACACTGTGGATAAGACCCATGGCTTGGCTGCAGCTCAGGGTAATTCATATATTCAAATAGTGAAATGGTGAATTTTCATTGCCTGTCTCGCTTTTCCTTCTTTCAGCTTTGCATCGTGATTGAACCAAAGAAATCTGTCTTCTGCCTCAAAGCAGAAATCTTGGTTGCTGAGGCAACATGTTGACTGGGGGGGACCCCAAAACTAAAGCAAAAAATCTTAAGTAAAGATGGCTCATTTCCAACTCACTATTTATTTTTTTTGATCTTCATAGAAAAGACACATACTGGCAAGAAAGCACTGCTGGTGGCTTTTTAATAAAAAAATCTGTTTGCTGAGGGATTATGCCTCATAACTTGAATGTTCAGCTGGTGAGAAATGCACACTAGTAGTTCAAAATTTTAAAAATATGAAACACTGTATTAAAAATCTTTAGAGGTTTTATAACTTTAGTAGGAAAAGTTCTTAAAGGCCCTAGTTGGAAAGCATCTGCTTAACCATGAACTGGTTGCTAGGTTTTAAAAAGATTTGTTGCTTGTAGCTAATACAGAGTTGTTCCAAAATGCACTCTGTTTCACTTAATGAACATGTCTTTAATGTTCAAGTAGTTGCATAAGATTTAGCCACACAGCTCCCACTGAATTGAACAGGAGTTCTGTATTTAAATCTAGTGAAACCCATTGAAAATGTGTCAATTTAATTTGCACTCCAAACTTTTTTGTTACGAGGGGAAAAAAACCTTGTGAGTTAACTTATCAAAAGAAAGAAGCACAGTTAAAAGTGTTTGCTGAAACTTTCTTTAATTTTTTCCAATACAGACATTGGGCTAATGTAAATCCACATAAATTAATTGAAATATGTGGAGCTGTGATGAATAATGCTAGTTGAGGCTCTGCCCCATTTTGCCAAGGTATTCAACCTCTTTCAGTTTTGCATATTATCTGGTGTGTACTGTACTATCTAGATACAAGATTAGGATTGCTTGAAAGCTTGTGTCTTACACAAACAGAAGTTGGTCCAATAAAAGATATTACTTCACCCACCTTGTCTCTCTAATATCCTGGGACCAACATGGCTACAATATTAAATACAAGATGTCATCTTAAAAATTGCAACCCAGTATAATCCTACTGACTTCCACTAAATTTTAATGGGGCTAAATCAGGGCAGAAAGTGATCCTAAGGATAGAGTTTCAATTAGCTTTGAATTCCTTTGTCAAGTCCCCCTTTTCTTTTTGTCTTTTAGTTTAGATTTGTGTGAAAATGTATACACACACACACACACACACACACAAATGATAACACTATATACATATACATATAATTATTTGTATTATTGCAGCACCTAGGAGCCTTAGTCAGGAGCCAGAACCCCATTGTGCTAGGTGCTGTACAAACACAGGACAAAAGGATGGTTCCTGCTCCAGAGAGTTTACAATCTAAGACAAGAGACAACAGCTGGAGACAGACAGGTGGGGGAGTACAGGGAAACAATGAGACCATATTGGTCAGCAGGACAGGCAGTGATCTCAGCTCATCAGCAGCCTAACTGTTAAGTTATATTAAGGCATCATGGCAAAGGAAAGTTTTAAAGAGGGGATTTGTAGGAGAACAATGTAGTATTTTTGCAGATGTTTACAGTGAGCTTCTCCCAAGCATGAGGGACAGCATAGCCAAAATCACATAGGTGCTTGTTTGAAAATGTAACGAGTGGGTGATGGAGGCTGGCATCATGAGCGGGGTCAGATGTGGGAGCAAACAGCAAATGAGAGAGTAGGTGTGATGGCGCGTGCACCCCATACTGATCTGACAAGAGCTGGGTGGGGCCAGATGGGTCGAAGCTACTAATTAGGCTGAAAGTCAGGGAGCTAATGGAGGAGGAATTGGCTCACCTGGGCAAGAACATGTGGGGTCTGTAGAAAGACAGGTAGCTGGCTACTGGGTAGGGGGTGGTGTCTAGGGAAGGGTAGTCACTCCGTGAAAAGGGGGGAGGAGTGTTTGAGGCTGCGGGAAGGCAGGCTGCACAGACTACCTTAGAGGAGGGAGTGAAGAAACTGGTGAACCCAGGGTGGGGGTGGGTAGCTACTTAGGTAGAAAAAAGCCCAGGGAAACAACAACGAGGTCAAAGGCAGTACAGGCTTCAGCTACATGTTACAGGGTCCCTGAGCTGGAACCCAGTGCAGAGGGTGGGCCTGGGTTCCCCTACAAGTCAGTGGGTATTGGCTCCGAGCACTGGAAATGCCAGCTGGATAGCTGGTCTGGAAACACTGGGATTTCCCTGGAAGGGGAGGGACTTAGTGGCCTCGCTGGAGTACCAATCCATGGACTGGAAGCATCTGCACCAAGAACGGGAGAGGCCACATACACAGAGAAGAAGATGGGTGGCGAGACCACTGAGAAGCGTGCAGCTTGAGACAGAGCTAATCCCCAGAGTAACCAGCTGGAGGTGCCTCAAGTGGAGAGTGGACCCTGTGACAGTGGGGATAGGCCATGGAGAGCCTTTAAAATGAAAGAAGTAGCTTTATATTTGGGTGCAATGTGGAGCCAGTGATGGGGTGCAAAGACAAGGTTACATGGCCAAAGTGGTAGGACAGGGGAATAATCTTTGCAGCAACATTCTGAATTGTTGCATTTGTCAAGGCCAGAGAAAAAGATGTTACACAAATTGAGATGCAAGGTGATAAGAGCCTGGATAAGACTTATCCACCCACAAATCTATAAGAAAAGATATATCTTAAAGATGTTATGCAGAAAGAATTTGCAAGATTTAGACACAGTCTGGGTGTGAAGACCTTGAGAGAGGTCCAGGTCAAAGATGACACTCAGGTTATAGGCCTGAGTAACAGTCAGGAAGGTAGTGCTGTCCACAGTGATTGAGAAAGGAAGTAGCAGGGAGCATTTTGGGAAAAAAAAATAAGAGCTCTGGTGTAGCCATGTTGAGCTTAAGCTGATGGTTAGACACTTACATGGACATGTCCGAGAGACAGGCTTCTATTTAATGGTACAAGACAAAAAATGAAAAATAGGTACAATAGACTGAGATGGCTCCTTTGGGCACTGATTTTACACCCCATATTCTTTATGGAAATATGCTTATGATGTGGATATGGTATAACAGATATGTTTTATGCAAGATGGGTCTTGTAAGGTATCACTGGAAAGATTATAATTTACTGAATGTGATTATCCAATTTGTATGCATGTATCATTTCTGTATCTAAAGTAAGGAATATTGACTGTGTATTTGGGAGACACCCACCAGACAACAGGCCATCACCCTTGATGGGCCATTAGGAAGAAACAGTAAGACTTTGAAGATACTAATCTCGCTCCTTCCTGAGAGGCATCCTGGGATGTAGCTGTGACACTACTAGGTCAGGTGGTCCTGTCACCTGGTACTAAACACCATTTTGGATTTCTAGTAATTTTCCACTAAAAGAAGGGGACGGTCAAGACTGGGAAACAAAAAAGATTCCTGCCTTATGTAAATCTTATTTAAGGCTGGGGAGCAGGGCAAACAGGACTCTTCTCCATTGCCTTCCTGCCCAAGAAGAAAGACTGCTGAAAGTACCTGAAGAGACAAAGGAACTGAACACTGAGAAAGGCAAGGGCTGAGTCCAGAGGAGTCTAGTATGTAAAGAGAAATAATTGGAACTCTAAGCTACAGAAACTCTGCAACTTGCCTAAAACAACATTTAGGGTGAGAAATTACTTCTTGAAACTAGTCTCTTTAAGATCTTAAGCTTAGTATGTGTGTTTTGTTTTATTTGCTTGGCAATCTGCTGTGTTCTGTTTGTATCCCTTATAATCACTTAAAATCTGCCTTTTATAGTTAATAAACTTGTTTTGTTTGTTATTAAACCCAGTTTGTGCAATTTCTAACTGGGGGAGGGGCCAAGAAGTTGTGCATATCTCCCTGCACATTGAGGGAGGGGGTTTATATATTAGCTTACGTTGTGTAGATTTCTCTACAGCGCGAGACAATATTATTTTGGGTGTACTTTCCAGAGGGGAGCTGCACTTGAGTGCTGGGCAATTTCCTAGCTGAGTCTTCTCATAGAGAGCTGTTTGCAGAGTCTGTTTGCTTCTACAGATGGTGCATCCCTACCTGTATGCGTATGCTGCCAGGGGCTGGAAGGCCTAATTCAGCAAAACTGGGAGAGGGAGCCCAGGCTAGAGGAGCAGGCAGACTCAGTGAAACCTCAGTACATCATCCCAGATGAGGGGTGGCATCCCAGATGAGGGGTCCAACCCGTTACAGACTCATTATCAGTTGGATGTTTTTAGGAACATACAAAAATGCACAACACACACAAATGTACGAGTAATACATTGATGGTGGATTTGTATATTAAATTTCAAAATCTGTGCCATTTACTCAGTAAGCCAAAATAACTAGAGAAAAACTTGTGATCAGACTGACACCTGTTTCTGACAAATTTGAACCTGGATCAATTTTAATGTATGAGTGATTGATATTTTTGGATTTTTTTAAAGTTAACTTTAAATGTGGCACAATCCTCCCTATAATGTAGATATCTGTGCAAAGGCTTTATCGAGTTGTGAGTTACAGCACAATAGTGTTGAATCAAACTGAAATAATTTAAAATATTTTAAAAGTATTTTTCCTAATGGTTATTCCAGTCAGAATTTAATTAAAATATGTCATTCCATTTGGTACCCTCTTGATTTTGTGTCTTTAGGATGTTATTAGAAAGTATTTCTAATTTACTTATTAGAAAGTATTTACAATATTATATGCATAGTGGCATAAGCATATCAGATTTTTTAAAAACTGTTTCCATTAGCACAATAAGAATTAGTTGTTATAGACAGAACATGGAGAAATGTACAAATTTAGAAAAAAAATATTCTGTCTTTAGGGTAGTGGTTCCCAAACTTGTTCCGCCACTTGTGCGGGGAAAGCCCCTGGCGGGCCGGGCCAGTTTGTTTACCTGCCGCGTCCGCAGGTTTGGCCGATCGCAGCTGCCAGTGGCCGCAGTTCGCTGCTCCAGGCCCATGGGAGCTGCTGGAAGATTTTGAACTTTTAGGTTTCACATTTTCTGCTTTTCTTTTCAACCACAAAGGCTAGAAACTTATTTACAAAAAAAAAAAAAGTGGAGATTCTGACATAATCACATAACCCTAAGAGCAAAGGCCTTAAGTAAATACCAAGTTTTGGGAGACTAGTGATTAAAATGAGAGTTGGGAACAGTGGAATCTGTGGGACTAAAAATTCCAGAGCACCAGGTGGAAGAAAGAGCAAGTATTTGAATTTGGGGTGGGGAGGAGGTGAGGGTTGTTGAGTGGGAATTGGGGGGTTAGAGTTGGTGGGAAAGAATGATTTTGGGATTCAGAAAACCTGTGGTACAGGTGTGGGGAGCACCGCTACGATTGAAGGAATTGATTTGAGGACCAGGGGAACCAAGGGAGCAGAAGCAGAGGGAGGGAAAGGCTGGTGGAATGAAAAGGGAGGAAGCATGTCTGAGGGAACCAGGTGAGGGATATTTAAGTGCTGGGCATCAAAAGGCAATAGGAGGGAATCAGTCTGGGAGCTGAGAAACTCAAGATGGTGGCAGCAGGGAATATTCGGCCAGCTGGAGTGAGAGGAAGTCTTTCTGGAGATCAGATGCAGGATGAACTGATGAAAAGAGGTGTGTAGAGGATGTGGAGATCAGTACTATAGTTGTTTCAGAGCTTTGACTTCCACAGGGACTTTTGAAGAATGGAGTGTAGGTGATTGAGGAGTGAGCTCTGACTGTGTGAGGATAGCAGAACCCAAAGGTGAGTAAAGTTTATATATATTTATCAATATTTTGTTTCCTTTCTTCAAATGTTCTGAAGAAACCATTTATATTGACAGGCTTCAGAGTAGCAGCCGTGTTAGTCTGTATCCTCAAAAAGAACAGGAGTACTTGTGGCACCTTAGAGAATAACAAATTTATTAGAGCATAAGCTTTCGTGGGCTACAGCCCACTTCATCGGATGCGTAGAATGGAAACATAATTTCTCTGATTATACAAATTCTATGAACATGCAAACATCCCAGGCTGATGTTTTGAGGAGTCCTGTGGTTGACAGCATGCATGTTCCTGTGGTGTGGGGAACTCCGGACCTGGACATCTCCAAGGTGACAAGAGGAGTAAGAAAACCTGAATGAAGCAACTGCTGTTGATCTCTCTGGGGATGAGGAAAAGAAGAGTTAAGCCAGCAATCTTGGAATCTGAGTGTGGTGTCTGAGTAAGCAGTTGGATCAATTCCCCTCAAGTGCTGCTGTATGTCAGGTGAGGGGTGGGGCATAAATGTTGCTGCAAGTCAGGGATCTCCGGGGCAGGGATGTGAGCTGGGCATGGAACCTCTGCTGATGCATTTAGTGAGGGGAGAGATCCAATGGTGTTTTGTGTAAAGGAAAGTGCTGGTTGGTGAAAGAGCAGAATCGGCGATGTGCAAGTGTCATAGAATCTGGTGCAAACAGGAAAAAACAAATGTTGTGAAAAACATTTAACAGTGATATATAATCATACTGCTTCCCTGTGTCCCAGGAAATTCTTTCAGGACCTGAAATGTCCTGTTTTTCCATTTCATCAATCAAAATCTGTGGTTTTTAAAGAAATATTTACACAATGTGTGTTAAGGACTTATTGCTCTACAGAGTGAAATTTGTCTGTATCTACCTGAAACAAAAGTTCAGTGGAACAAGCGTTCAGTGTAATGAAGTGTTTGGAGTGAAGAGAAAAGTCAAATGAGTTTGTACACTATAAAGGCGAGTATTTTGCCCAAAATGAATATTAACAACATGATAACTTCAGAGCACAAAGTTTAATGGGAATTTTTTTTGTCCATTCTGAAACATGAACATGTGTTGCTGTGCTGAGTCAGAAACTCAGAAGACTTTTGTCTGACTATTTTCTAATCCTAAATCTAAGTCTTAGTTGCACTATGGACCTAAAGAATTGATTCTGTACTGTATAGTGAGTGCTATCTCTGAGGTAAAAATCTGTGTTGCTTGGTTTCAGCACCAGAAGGGGAGTGTTGATGTACATTTTGGTTTCCCATCAATGATAATATACTTATTTGTATCGATCTTTTAGAAGACATTATCAGTGCACTGTCAGGACAGGCAATGGGTATATGTAGCAGCAGGATTTGGGTGCAATTAAAATTCCAACTTATACTGTTACATAGCCCCAGGAACAAAATGCAGTAACATAATGCACCCGCAATGTGACATTGCAATTCAAAACCAGAGAGCAGAAAAAAATACCTTGCTCTTGTTGTGGTCCTAGGGTACAGTCCTTATAACATTATCTTCACAGTGATATCACTCTAGTTGTCACGCTAAATATTTGTTTCCTCTGGGATGGGTGGGAGAGTATGCATTCTGAGGCATGGAAATGGCTACAGATAATCATCAGTGAGCAGTGAACTAAGAAAAAAGCAACATTTCATCCGGCATTACAGGAAGACAGACAGTATATGCGATGTAGTATCGTGGGAGGGTGAAGAGTTGATAGAAACACATTACTTCACAGCAGATCAGTGTCAGTACTGCTTGGCATTATCAGAGCAGAATACCGTTTAAGTCTATTCAGATCTTCATGTCAAGTTTATACATTTGATGAAAGATGTACCTGATATCTTTCATGCAAGTGTATTTTGAGTTCAATTTCCATACAATTATGGGGTTTGCATTTTAACAGTTTATCCTGTGGGCTATCTGTAATCTGTGGTGTGGTTGTAATCATTTGTGTACATGGTAGCTACTGAAAAATTGTGTTCATCACACAAAATAGGAGACAAATCTAAATGGAAAAAATAATTTATTTTTATTATTGGCACTGGACTCAAATGTGCGTTAAGTCAATTCCAAAAGAAATAGGTGGCATAACTTGGCATGCTTGACACTAAAACAGGTTATATGTGACAGTTTAATGCTCTTTTTCCAGACAAATGAGTAGTTAATATGAAATAGAGTGAACAACAAAATCAAATGAGGGATTCTACGAATAATTACTCTTAAGGAAAGTCTTCTCTCTAGTTCTCCAGTGCTGTTAGATTGTGTTCTCTATAGGACAGGGACTGCCTTATGTTTGTCATGTAAAGGCCCCAACACATGGTTGGCATTTAATCAATAATTACTATAACTACAGTGAGGAATATATGTATGTTACTCCATAGATACAGAGCACAGAGGAAAGAAACAGACTTGTAAATATAAACAGTCCTTAGGAGCCAATTTTCTTTTCCCAGTTTTCTTCACAACTTTGTCCTTAAATATTCTCATTTCCCATTCATATTTGTCATTATAAGTAAAAACAAATAAAGAAACCATTACATTAAATACAAAGGAATGGTGTTCTGATGCCACTGTTCTTAATTTTGTTCCAGGCTGATGTTTTGTTGCTTTCAGGAGAATGAAGAGCAGAGATGGGGGGAAGTGGTTTCTTCTACAGCCAGAGACATGAATATATTCCATTGTCGACATGCAGTCAGCCCTTTTATGGGAAAAAAGTGTCACTCCCAATGTCCACAATGGAGTTTTCTCATGAAATCAGGGCAACTAAAATCCTTTCCTTATAGTATATTGGTATTGGGTTGCTTCATATCTGCCTAGATTTCCTCTTTTTGTTTCCCTTATCACATGGATGGACTTAATACATCCCAGCATGGGCGTAACACCCTCACAAGTATTTTTTTATATTTTAGGAATTGGGCCCATAGTCTCAATCATTACACAATAAAGGGATTATACATTAAAAAGGACTGTATGCAATCAAGAAGAAATTTTAATTAATCATAAATAGACCTGGTCCTGTGGAACTAATGTGACCTGACAGTTCAAGGTTTGATCAGCACATCAC